AAAAAAACTTTCAACTCCATTTTTGTTATGAATCTATTTATTCTTTCAATATTCATATTGGAAGAAATCTTGTATTAACAAAATTTTGTATTAACAAAAATTAAAAAATCTTTTCAACATTTTTTTACAATCACAAACTTGTATAGATTTCATAGAAATCTAATACAGTTCCAATAGAATGGATTTTGATTGAATTTTAAAGAACTGACATCTCATTATTTTCCAATTTTTACTAAAATAATTATTCAATATTAACGTAACCAAGAAATAATCAATTTCTGGCACCATGATGTTTGAACCATTACCCCCGATACAACTGAGGATTTACCACGTTGAATTGGTGCAAATTTGTTTGAATTTTTAGGCGGTAAGGTTTTTTAAATTTGAAAGGAAAGCGCGCGGTGCTCTCTCTGTCTAACTGCGCCCCACTTCGTACACGCTGCTACTCCCACCCTGACTGCGCTGGGCTCCACGCAATTGGGGTATTGTATTTCTAATAATGGGTCTAATAGGGTTTTATGGCCCCGGCTCCCGAGGATCCGACTTTGCCCATGCCTGCACTAGACTATCACGCTACTATTATTGAGTAAACTCTGTTTTGCTTATGCCATGTGTATTGGGAATATTTGTTCACTTTAACAGGCGAAAAGTGACTCAATTAAAATTTCATCCATTATACTTTTGATAATCATAGCAATAATAAATCAATACAATGAAATAATTTAGCTCGGGCCAAGCCAATTCAAATTTGATCAGATTAAGTTCTTAGTCACAGCTCAACTTCAGATCAGGTGGACCTGATCAAAATCTGATCCGAAAAGTTGTAGGCGCACCAATCTCAATTTAAGAGCAATCCCACCTCATCCAAACTTGAACTGGGAGCGAAATATGCTTTCGATCTAATTAAATAGGTTAGGTTCACGAATATAAAAATTTTGAAAAAATAGAGGAATAGTTGGACAGTAAAGGAAATGTAGAGCTAACTATCAATCGTACCAATCGGCAGTTAAAATGTCAGATTTTTCGCCTGCAGTAATTCTGCATTATAGAGACAGTGCTGGATAAATGAGTAGATATATGCGCATACACATCCCCACATACATACTATCCTTTTTGAAAAATATATTTTCATCACGTTTTATACCATTTCCAGGCATGTTCACTGAAAGTAAGAAAATTAAAGTAAATAGTGATTACATCACTTCCATTGGGAAGCAAGAATCTTTCAAGCGGTTGTATTTTGCAAAGTTATTTCTGTGATGCGTACAGAAACAATTTAGAAGATTATCATCTTCTTTTTATAAATTTTAGTAATGATAAATAAAATCTAACCGAGCTTTGAATTAATCAAACAGAGTACCTTCAAAGCAAAATTTACAGTATAATTGAGAAATTCTATTTTTCTTTTACGGATATAATCGGGTGAAGTAAAGTGTAGTGAACAAATACAACGAATCACTGGAATGATCAGACTGGATCAGGTGGATACCGAGAGGAACCCAGGGTCACAAATTGGGCTTCTTATGAGATGAATTTGACGGCAAGGCTGGGGACCAAGGAAGGTAGATCCTGCAACGTGGGCAGGTTAGAGGAGGAAGTGGACAGAGTCCATGAGACCCTAACCGAGTCCTTCCAGGTGGCCTGCCTGGTAAAACCACGTAAATAAAGTAAGAAGGTCGCCTGGTGGAGCAAGGAGCTGGAAAGGCTGAGAGGCCTTGCCAGACGATTGTGGAACCAGGCCTATCGAACCAAGAACTGAGGAAGTTTCGACTTTGGAGGACGCAAAAGAAGTACAAACATCTCATCACGGAATCGAAGGAATCCGCATGGAGAATTTATTGCGAGGAACTGGAGTCTCTGTCTCAGGTGGCTCGGCTTTGCAGGGTTTTCTCTGGTGGACTCACGCAAGGGTTGGGTTGTATCACGCTACCCAGCGGTAAGGTCATAACCCAACCAACTGACATCGTGGAACATCTGGTCCGGGTGCACTTTCTGGACTCCGTCATACGGAGTGAGGAGGAGTGCAGGCTGGACCTTTTACGACTGGGAGGAGGCAGACCTGACTGGGGCCTACCCTCAAAAGTGGTAATGCTGGACGATCTGGGATGGGCGGTGAGGTCCTTCGAAATGTACATGAGTCCGGGCCCGGACGGGATATACCCGGCTCTTCTGCAGAAAGGGAACTCTACTTCTACGCAGACTGTTACCAGTATTCAAAGCCAGCGTTGCTCTTGGGCACGTGCCTAAAAGATGACGGGAGGTTAGAGTCGTGTTCATCCCAAAACCAAGGAAATGTAGCTATGACAATGCCAAAACCTTTCGACGTATCAGCTCCAGCTCTTTTCTTCTGAAAACGCTGGAGAGACTCGTTGATAGGTACCTTAAAGAGGGCGAGGAGAAATCCCATCAGCCTCGCACAGCACGCTTAACAGACTGGCAAATACATGAAGATTGCTGAGAACAAGAAAATAGCTGAGAACAATCAGCTGAAGGTGATGTGGATTCCTAACCGCGTTGGCATCATGGGCAATATGATGGCCGATATGATATGATCCTCAAACGGGAGGAGAAGGGGATTGTGAAGAGATGGTAATGCTGCCAACCACACAAGAGCCCGACAGCCGACGAAAAAGCTGGCAGAAACGCTGGTGGGCCTTAGTAGGTATAAGCTCCGCGCTTTGGTGGGCCTTATTACCGGACACTGGCCCTTTGCGTCATATCTTGCTAGAATTGGCAGAGGAGATTGTCCCCTGTGCCCTAGATGCGGTCTGATGGAGGAGGATCCTCACCACCTGAGCACAACATGCAGAGGGCTGGATGACATACGATGGGATGTCATTGGGATCATCTGCATCAGAGAAATCCACGTTGACAGAGATGGCATCAACCGGCTCTACGAATTTGCTCGTGGGCCAAGGGTGCTGTCGCCTGTCCACTAGGCGGCTGCTAAGGCAGGATGAAAAATGGCCGGAAGATTCGTTTCATCGCCTGTTCAACGGGAACGGCTCAAGTCTCTTTCAAAATGTCAAATACAGCGAATGTTATGAAAATGATTGAATACATTGATGAATTTGTTGAACAATAATGTCCGAAATTTCACATAGAAGGCAGGGTAATAGTAAAGAAAATGCCACTGTTGCTGCTCGTACATAGAATGAAACAGATGGTTGATAACTTTTACATTTTTTTCTACCTTAGTGACCAGTCGGTCAGGTGAAGGAAATTGTGAATTTATTGATGACACATTTGACCTGATAGCACAAATAGTAAGTTTCCAATTTTTTCGTATTGCTCCCCTATGTCTAAATTATCTGCAATTCTATAAATCATTGATTGATGAATTCAGTAGCATATTAAGAAACGATGCAAGGGGATTTTAAGAAATCCCGCATAGTAAACTCAATTTTTGGATCTCTTGAACTAACTTCTGTTACGTCTGCTATACCCCCCCCCCCCCCTTCCGCCAATTTCTCGAATCGCCGAAGGGTGTGAGGACTGGGGTTCGAGTGATTAGGGTATGAGGAGGCCTGCGAACAGGCAACATGGTACGGCGGACACGACGAAACGTTCCCACCCACTCTATGAGACTTGCCGCAAACATAGGTCTCATAACGGCGGATGAGCGCTCCATGTTACACGGGGTAGGCATTCAAATGGCTGACCCTTCAAAGGGGTTGTTCTAACGGTTTAGTGACAGCGTTTGATTCGGTGCGCTCCAGGTGAAACTAATGTCGGGGATATCCACGCTGTAGCGACAGCAGCATGTCACGGCACACGACAGCCCACCCAGCCGCAGTCGAGAGAGAGAGCTGCTTCGGCTGGATCCCAGTGTGGACCACTGGTAGCTGTCTTGAGCCCTTGGTAGGCTCCCAACGCCTCGCATAGGGTTTTAGGTTCTCTAAGCGAGGGTTGTACTTTTCCTGATTACGCTCGTTGGGTGAGAGCAATACTCTCCTCGGGCGGCGTTCTCTGGGTGAGAGGCATATTCTCTCTGGCGATGCTCTCTATACTTGGGGCTACCCTCGTAAGCCCATCAGATGATCGACAGTGTGTACATGGGTAAGCCCTCGCACTCTCGGCCGCCCGGCACTCCGCTATCTTATATCGCGCTTTCGGCGAAGTCGTCTCGGAGGTGGTTTCGACTATCTTGGACTTCCGCACGTAGGCTTTCGGTATCCAAACTCGTTGATCTACGTGTCGTACTGTTTCGCGATTCGGTTGGTTGAAATCGCGTATCTGTGGACCCTGATCCTCTCTCCACGACCCAGCATTCTAATCAACCCCAGGCTTTCCTGCTTCCGTTCCGTAGTTTTGGTATTCAGGATATTAGATCTAAGGATTTCACGGTTTTCGAATTTTTGGATTTTGTGTTGTCGCAAGAACGAGTTCCAACCCCACTCGTCCTGTCTCTTCGTGCTGCTGTTTATAGATGCTTTATGATTACATGAGATTAACCGACCTCAGGTACGGGAGGGCACACCACCTCCTTACCCTCTTTCGGATCCTTCGGTTTTGATAGCTTTTAGCCCAGAATAAGCATGCTGGCGCCAATTAAATGGGTTAGATTTTTAGGATGAGAGCAGGGGAACGAGCGAAGATAACTCTTTTCGATCTCCCGGACGAGGTCAGGAAAAGTGTTACAACGATCATAACATTGGCTGCATTTTTTTTATTCCCTACATCTCGCCTGATTGTCCCTAAATACCTTTTCCTTGTAAATGATTTCTGTACAATTTTTTATCCATTAAGGACAATTCATTTGAAACAGTATTAAATTTAATTATTTTCAAAATTTATCAGTTTCCGGGAAAAAATTGATTATAATTGATTAATTATACTTGTGGGAAACTTCAACGATTCCTTACATCAGGATGTTCATTTTTCAAAAATGAAAAATCAGAATATATTTCTACCGAAATCAAAACGAAAGAATGAGTCCCATTGAACTTTCCAAAATTATGGCTGCGATAATTCCATTTAACTGTTTTTATAGACTTTACCTGATCGGATTGGTAACAGTCAAGTCATCACCAACAATTTGGATGGGTGTCGATGCTGTGATTGAAGTCCACGAATCCCAGCCATCCTGGTCAAACGGATCCTCAATTGAAACAATCGGATAGTTCTTGATAAAATCTAGATAGAGGGCTTCAAGTGCCTTTGGCTCAAGGTAAGTCGACGGGTCCGATTTTTCGTTTTTGAAATCTAAATCATACTTTCCATTTTTGTGGAACTCGGAGGCCGCCACGTCCATGCCAATCTCGATTTTTCCTTCATATCCGGCAATCTATAGAAAGAAGAAGATAATTAGCATAAATAAATAATGATTATGGAAAAAGACGAAGAAAGAAGCCGGTATTTTATTTTTATTGACAGGGTAAAACCACACAATAAATGTTAGTCCAACATTATTTTTTCCAAAGTACGTGGCAAAATACTCGTATAACCATTTCCGAGGTATTACAATATCTGTGTATTTCAAACGATTTTGAATCATCTAAACCCTACTTCGTGAGCAATTTTTTACAAATTATTGCAAGGGGATTTTAAGAAATACTGAAATTTATGTATAAAGATCACAGAAACACATTCTCAGGGCATGACACCCGTTCATGTTTCAGACGATTTTGCGTCGTCTCACGTTAAAGTTTTGGAATAGTTTTTTATCTATTTTTTTAGCGCAGTATTCGAAGGGTACGATGCTCATTAATCTAAAAATTATGTTGGAGATTGTGCCCTCGTTGGTCATTTACGTTTAACCAAATCAACGTTTTTAAAAAAAAATCGTATGCGCTTCCCCGAAATCCAGTCAAATAATATTGGGCCGAATATGAATCGACCTTCAATTAATCGCAATATATCCTCCGAGCGGCACTACAAACAAACAGAAAGCTCTTTAGTTTTCAAAACTTGGCACCTTCATTCACAACAGAGCGTTTGAAAAATACTCTAATAATTTTGAAGCTCTCGCAATATTACAACTGACAATTTTCGTGAAACTTTTGCAAGGGATTTTAAATAATTTGAAAATATGTGCAAAAACATGACATAAACGTTTTGACAGGGGCTGATGAATTTTCAAATTGCAAGGGATTTCAAATCATCTGAGCACGATGGTAAACATAAAACAAAAAATTTGATAAAAATGAAAAGAAAAGGACTTTGAAAGTCACAGACAAATGGTCCAATATTCATTTGAAACATGAACGTTTGTTATTCACTAAGAAATTGTTTTTACGGCCCATTTCCATAAATTTTGAAATTTTTTGACATCGCCTGGACAAAGATTTAATTGTTTATTGTTTGCAAAACATGGTCTTTTGGAGACAATAAACCCTCAGAAAGTGGTTACGACGTTTTTCCAGATAGGAAAATCGGAATTGATTCCAAAAGTGTCTGTACGACCTTTTTACTTAACAACACACGCGAGGTGTTTAAACTTTTGTGTGAAATTAAAGTTACGGATAATGAAAATTTTTTGACTACTTTGAACTTGAATGTCTAAATAATTGAATATTTTATGAAGATTCTTTCCAAAAATGGGTGCATTTATCTACTTCTGCTACGACATAATGAGAAACTATTGATGCATCTAAGGAAATTCTTTACAGAAGTAATCTTTCTTGTCTGGCCCAAATTGCCTTCCACAATTATGTCAATACCTTAATAGCTTCATTGATAAGATTTAAGCCCTCCTTATTGTCGAGAATATTAGGAGCAAAACCACCTTCGTCACCGACAGCTGTGGCATCAAGACCAAACTTGTTTTTGATAATATTCTTGAGATGATGATAAACTTCGCTGCCCATTTTCATGGCCTCAGTGAAATTAGCAGCACCGACGGGGAGAATCATAAACTCTTGCATCGCTAATTTATTGCCAGCATGAGAGCCACCGTTGATTACATTAAAGGCTGGAGTAGGGAGAATGATATTCTTGTTGCCAGCTAGCTCAGCAATGTATCTGCGAATGATCAAGATAACCAAACAATTGTCAAATAAAACAAATAGAAAAATCTAACAATTGTACTGCACAGTAACCTAACGAGCATTAAGATAAGTAACCTTTATTATTCTTCTCTCCCTCGCTCCAAATGATTGTGCTTACCTGAACATTAGTGAACTCCCGATAAATTTGACTGCTTTTATAATTGTTTTCATTAAGCGGAATAACTTGTGCTTTAATTCGAATCATAAGCTAGTACTATTTCCGAATTCAATATTATTGCATACGCCAAGAACGAGATTAACATGCTCTTTCATTGATCGAGTTATTATAGAATTCATATTATTATTCTTATTTTGATGTATCTATGAACCAAATCTTGAATCGTTCAGAACATTTAATCTGGGTTTAACATCATCAAAAACAAAACGAATGCTGGCACATCATGGGGGTGATAGCATTTAGATTACATTACTTCATATTCTGTGGCTTCCGAATGGATGCATTGCAATCGTTCGATGTTAACTGTGCCATATTTCAGATACGGATAACTAACTTGGAACTTGAGAGTATTCATATAACTTTGTAATTGAGCTATATCATTGTTTCCACTTGACATGGAAAGCACGTGGGACACATCTATGTTTTCCACGGCATATAACTAAAACACAGATTTCCCAGGGACAAGGCATGGGAACGCCATTTTCCATACTGCTTTCTAAGTGATGAGACGCCCATACGTTTGTAACAAAGTTAAGGAAACGAATTACAAGTCACCGGGTGAAGCCCTATCTGTGAGTCCCCCTCCCTGCCCCTCTTTCAAAAAAAAAATGTCTATTGAAATGATTAATTCTATCAAAAAAATTCGTCGTGAAAATAATGAATAATAAATTATTGTTCGGAGGTAGAGCTTTAAAGCTATTGTTCGATGGGAAGATTGATGAGTTCCATGTTTCACATGTTAAAATACATTCGAATTGGATTCAATGACAAAGAAAAAGTAGAAGAAATACAGTGATATAAAACATTAGTTAAATACATGGAAGATTCTCCATTATTTCACCGGCGAGAGTAATTTAGTAATTCCCTGGAGAATTAAAATTTTATTCGAATAAATAGCAGTTTTGAATGATGCACCAAAAATTAAAGGCAACAAAATTGTCAAGTCAATCTCATTGTTGTATTGGGGCATAAAAGTAAAACAAATTAAGACTGATCAAAATTGCATTAGTATTGAAGAATGTAAGAGTGATTAAATGCTTCAATAATGCAGAGAAATATATTATAAGCTTATAAGATATATTATAAGCAACTATGTGAAGTTGCTCTTTGAGATAGTAATTGCACAATGCACTGTAGCTGCAGTCTAGATTTTTTAATTTTCCGTATTATTCACTATAATTTTATAAACTTTATAATTCTATTATATTATAATTTTTAATTTCATACTCTACTTATTTAGTCGGTAGCCCAGTCAGAACCTAATGTTCTGAAGGTAATATTATAATAAGATGAAAGGAATCCCAAACGAAGTTCTAAAATCTTCGGCCATTTACCCATCAGAAGCGACCATCAGCCGAACCAGAAGTGGTCATATAAAGCCAGAATTCTTCATATACAATGATGGAATCGACCTGATCCAGGATGAACTGAACAGACAGATGCTATATGATATACTTAGGCATACCAATAATAAAAAAATCCCCATTGATGATTTTGACTCCTACTATTTCCTATATTCCAGGAAGATCCCTAGCTGTAATCTCAGAGACTTCACACGAGTCAAAAGAATTCTGATGGCTTAATGAAGATAGTAGATATATGAGAGAACTAAAAGCTCGTCATGAACTCGAGAAGCGAAGAAATGGAAACAACAACCGAAATAATTATAGGACTCGCAGATTCATTGGGTTCCATAATCGATCACCTCAGAGACCTCATTAATTGGCAGCAGATCGGTGACACTCAACAATATTCCGTATAGCGATTATTAAGGCCCGGCCTTCTCACCGTGGGAAAATCGTAGTGACTTTTACCCCCCACGGTTTGCGGCAGACTTCGAAGCTCCATATAAAAAAAACACGGTCGGTAAGGAGAAAAGTGACAAAATAGCACAATTTTCCAGGGCCGTCTAGAGCTCCGAAGTCAGGGTGCCTAATTTTCTACCCACGGGCGAAAAAAAAATTGAATCAATGGGGGCTGAGGCTGTGACGAGCATATGAGGGTGAAATGGGGAGATGAGGCAGGGATGAGCGTGAAAGGGTGAAATGGGGAGATGAGGCAGGGATGAGTATTTAAGGGTGAAATGAGGAGTTGAGGCTGGGACGAGCAGATGAGGGTGAAATGGGGAGATGAGGCTGGGACGTGCAGACCTACTCTCCCAGAAGCAGTTTTAACACAGTGGACTCCTGATTGTGTGATTTATCATCCAAATTCTCTTTTTTTTTCGATTTATTCTGTATTTGGAGAGCTGCTTTCAGAAATATTGCGATACTGAGAATCCTTACGAATTAATTTTGACAGAAGTTTTCGAGCCGAAGAAATTGTCATTTCCCTATAAAGAGCATGGCTCTGAGAAGTTGATGCAAATCATTCAATACTTCACCATGTCTCGAATGCAACAATTAATTTTAATTGAGGAAAAAATCGGAGAAATGGTGTCCATCATTATCCTGTCTGTTCTTGTTCAGTTATGTTCTAATTATAAAAAATTAATTCGCTGCGTTCTCAATAAAATTGAAATTTCTACGAAATAAAACATGTATGAAACGGTAGAAACGGCCTTATTCTGCTTCCTTATCTCTTCAGTCTAAGAGAGCATATTAAATAAATTAAAACAAATTAGTGTAAGTCATTTATGTCGATAGACTCGCAGAGTTCATATTAGCCCCGCCCCCAAAACAGGCAGATGGAGCTGGCGCCGCCACGCGAATTGTGACATGCATGTGGTAGCATTGGAAGCGTAGTATCACCCCCCTGATTGGGACTATATGATAGACTAATAAATTAAGAAATCATTTAATCTAAGGAGATATGTTTCTGTGATGTTTACCAGTCAGAGAATAGTTTGGAGAAATTATTCTTCATAAAACCACTTCATTACATTCGTGCTTTTTTTTACAAGTATAGCAATTCAAAATCTGTTTGTTTTCAGCATAAAATATTTATAAGATACAAAATAAGAGCAATTATCCTCTTTCATTTGGTTAAACCCCATAGGCGAGGGGAAATCAAAATACAATAGAAAGAATAGTTCATAGCACATATTGTTAAAACTCGAAAGCCTCTATAGGCCAGAATGTTTTTCTTTCCAAACCATCATACAGAGTAACCATTGTTTTTTTTATACTAGTTTTTTGAGGTTTGTATATGTTGTAAATATTTTTTGTTTGAATAAAGAAAACTTGCTAAAAAAAAGCCTAGTGTTCTGAAACTTGTGGATTCGACTCCCCGTTGAATAGAATTTTTTCACAGGCACCGATGGGCGGGAGGTTGCTAATAGAGCAGCCGCCTGTACCCACATGGTTTTTCGTGTAATTTGCCGTATCAGTCCTATGTTCTATGGGAGTGTGAATACGGCACAGTGTAGGATCCACAACCGCATGCATAAGGTGGGATACGGCCAATTAGCCAAAATAGAAGAAAAAAAACTTAATTCTAAATTCATTACTATGATTTCAATTTATCACAGGAATTTATTAATGAAGTGAACGCTCCTAATATCCATTACAGTTTAACCTTTGTGCCATAACAATAGAAATGGATGATTTTTGGTTGACGTGAAGCAGCATTTTTGGCTCTCTTAATTCTAATGTCAGAAAAAAAATTAAATTTTGAAACTCACTTGTAAAGTGGTATGCCTTTCTTGGCAGCTCCGGCTTTGCAAACTGCTAGAGAAACACCGAGAATTGCGTTGGCTCCCAGTTTTGCTTTGTTGGGTGTGCCATCGATCTTAAGCAGAAGATTGTCGATGGCCCTTTGTTCGGTTGCTTGCAGACCAGACTGAAAATTACACAGATAACTGAATGAAACGATACATTGTATTTGTCCATCTGTTTTTGCTTTCGAATAAGTGCTGTGTAGTCGTTTAACCATGGAATACTTAGGACCTGTCCATACGTCCTATATATTCTTCAAGGAATCCTTTTGGAATCCTACTTTTAACATGCCTCTTATAAGAAAAACTTTTTTAAAAATGATTTTTTTTTATTTGTTAAATCGAATGTACAACTATTGAAGAATGTTGTCTCAAAATTTCAGCTCATTCGGAGAAACTGACTGAGATATGACGTCAAACATCGAGCCCCATCGAAAACCGTTGAGCGCGTCGAGCAGGTTGTCGGGCAGATTTTCGGGGTCGGTTAGGTCAATTGTGTTCTCGACCTTCGTGCGAACGCTCGTATTTAGTGGCCTCGCTTTTCATTTTGAACTCAAATTTAAAAGTTTAAAAGTGCGAAGAAACAATTTATATCCTTTCAATTTTCTTGCCCAAAACTTTGAACGCGTTTTTCTCGAAACGCCTTTTTTGAAGTCGGTGTCCAGGATAACTCAAAAAGTTATGCACTGATCGTATTGAAATTTTGCACACTTGTGCAACATAGAATTGACTCCCAGCCAACGGTCCCATTTTATTTATTTTTTGCTTCTATTCGATTTTACAGCCACAAAATGGCGCATTTTTAGGGCTAAAAACGTACTTTTACCTTCACCGACCGTTGAAAAAATGAAAAAAAAAAATTTTCTTTTAAAAGGGCAACGTTGGCTGAGAGATATACTTCTAAAGAACTAATTTTTTTTTGTCCCATGTGTTTCAGATGATTCTACGATCTTATATCCGGGACACCGCAATGTGCGGAATTCCGTTGAGTGCCTACTTCAAGTGGCTGCAACTTCGTTGATTTTCGACATTTTGTTGTCTAGAAATTCGAAAACATATTTGAAATGTCACTGAATAATATGATAATAAAACTATTCAAAAATATTCAGTAGTTTTCTCAAAAAAAAATGTTCAAAAACGCTTTTTATTTGGCCCGTTATCCCATACCCCCCCCCTAAATATACCAACATGTGTTGTCGTGGGGCCAATAACCGCTACGTTCTCGCTGTGGCCGTGGGTAATGCAAAGAGCGGTATTCAAAATTTCGACGTATGGAAGAATCCATTTGGCTCTCCTCCATACGGTTGTCAGATTCGATTCAATATAAAGTTCTGCGCTGCGGGGGGGGGGTAAATACACATTTACCATGATTCGTTTTCCGAGACTAGGCCTGAAAATAACTATTTCCATGCAAATTCTATCAGGATCAGGATACGCGATAGTCTCTATCGCGTATCTAAAGTTTAGACAATGAAGAGTACCGGTCTTACATTGAAAATTTCTGCGAAAGGGAACCACCAAAGAAATTCTATTGGAGCGTTTAAAAATTTTCAATCGATTCCATGCTATTGGAAAAGATCCAAATGTGACTTCCTTATATCCTTTTACGCTGTCCTGGGAGAGCCATGGAAAAAGTACCATTTTTTTCTGTAAACGAAAATGTCATCAGACAATGTGGATACAAATATTTGAGCGAGGCATTGGCCTATAATCCGAAAATTTTTAATACCACATGTGGACAACCAGGATATCATGGGACTGTCATTCAAGAAACCACTCTGAATGGACATATCTGCATTGAGTTGGATGTCAGGAATCCTGCTGATCGAGTGAATGCCTTGGAGTGTTCATTGACAGATTTTCCAAAATTCCTTCAGTTGAATAAGACTTACCAGTGAGTAACATTTTGTTATTACGCGTGAATCGAAGTCAAGCTGATTAATTGTTTAGATGCACATCTATTTGTTTTTTTTTCAGACTTGCTGGTGTGATTCATTTTGAAAAAATCGGTCAAAATGGACATTTTATCGCTTATTGTCATCGAACTAGGGGAAAATGGTTTAAATGCGATGATCTCCTGTCAAAAATTAATTATATACCAAATCCAAAAAGTATGACAGTTTCTCCGCATGCTGTAATTTATATGTTAAAATAATGATTCTTCTTGTACAATTGCTTCCTTTCTCCGTGATCAACAAACGTATTATCATAAATAAATAAACATTTTTTATGAGCACCACCTTTAATTGATATCTTTTTCAGTGTGTAACTTCGGATTTTTTGAGCACTAACTTCTTTACTCACTGCAACAACCCCTGTTCCCCTTGCGCATGCGCACAAGTGCGCGTGATCTCTACTTTTATGATAAATTATTGATTATTAATTAAATAAACAATTCCAAACATTAGTTGTAGAATCAATCGATTATCCAAATGATTTTACGTCGACTGACAAGGTTAAATGTAAAATTATTTGATACTTCTGCTAAATATACGCGCAATTTGAAATAATCAATATTAATTAATATTTGTATTTCCAAATATCGAAAATGATTTTCTAAATATGTCCAAATGATTTCCTAACGATAGAGAAAGTCAATTATAAATTATTTGATTATCGTCTGCTAAGTATATGACGCTCATTTATGTCCCCGTAAAACGTGTTTTTTCTGGGGAATTTCCAAGGGACATGTCGGGCAAAAATCCCTCCACCCGGGCCTTAACTAACACAGCTACGGTTCTCCCGCTCCTGACATGAAGTAAAGCGATCGAAGCACCATCAATAACTGCCATGTAACTATTGCGCGGAACGTACTTTGGTCATGTTTCGGACAACGCTAGTTCGGCCTCCTGGTCTCTATTCTTCATGCAACCATCATAATTCCATACTTCCACGATTCTGTTTGGTCTTTGTAGCGATGGCGCCTGAACGTATAAGAGCGTATGAGAGCGTCGGTAACAGCGCGCAGCATAGTCCCAGGTAGTTACCTCCACATAATTGCCAATTAATTACTTTTTCGATTCAGTTCATTAAAAGGCTCATTATAGGTTATTGTAAGTTAACTTATTCCAATTGAAGGTAATTGAATGGATATTTTGCCCTACGATGAAAACGAAACAAAAAGAGGGGCCAACTTTTTCCTAAGTCTTTCATTGAAAGAAAAATTCATTTTGACCAGCAATTATAAAAAAATGGAGTTACAATCATCTACATTAGACCTTTCAATGGGCTGAATGAAGAGAAAAATTATTTTTCAATTGTGTGGTGGTAACTAAATGGGGCTACGCTATGCGCTCTTACCGACGCTTTGATATGCGCCCTGACACACTCTAATCACACTCTCATTACACTCTCTTGATCAGGCATGGGCAAAGTCGGATCCTCGGGAGCCGGAGCCATAAAACCCTATTAGACCCATTATTAGAAATACAATACCCCAATTGCGTGGAGCCCAGCGTAGTCAGGGTGGGAGTAGCAGCGTGTACGAAGTGGGGCGCAGTTAGACAGAGAGAGCACCACGCGCTTTCCTTTCAAATTTTATAAACCTTACCGCCCAAAAATTCAAACAAATTTTCACCAATTCAACGTGGTAAATCCTCAGTTGTATCGGGGGTAATGATTCAAACATCATGGTGCCAGAAATTGATTATTTCTTAGCTACCTTAATATTGAATAATTATTTTAGTAAAAATTGGAAAAAAAAACTGTATTAGATTTCTATGAAACCTGTACAAGTTTGTGATTGTAAAAAGCTGTTGAAAAGATTTTTTAATTTTTGTTAATACAAAATTTTGTTAATACAAGATTTCTTCCAATAGGAATATTGAAAGAATAAACAGATTCATACCAAAAATGGAGATAAAAGTTTTTTGTATAGAAATGTCCCACAGAAAGCTCTGGGTTTGAAACGAATGGGATTTTTCCTTACATTTTAATCTATTTTTCTTATTTTTTGCCGATATATGAGCCAAAGAAGACAACTCTAAATGATTTTACGATGAAAGTTCTGCAAGGAAATTTCTCTCAGATAATTTGTATGAACGGATTCTTTTAACTCCATTTTTGGTATGAATCTATTTATTCTGTCAATATTCATATTGGAACAAATCTTGTATTAACAAAAATTAAAAAATCTTTTCAACAGTTTTTTTCAATTAATTTGCTGCCGAAATATTCAATTCAGAGTAATTTATTCAACGGAATTTTATGCGGAAGTTAATAGAGGGAAAATTGATAATTGATATTTTTTAACAATGCAAAATGCAGCAAAGAAAAATATGCATATTTTTCGTTCAAAAATTGAAATTTTTGCGCGTTGACTGACGTAACGATTCCCCCACTCTGACCCAAGCATCGTGGTCTCGCCCCTCCGACTACCTGCACGGTACAATAGGACCCCTTATTTTATAGTCATTGGCCTAATTGAGGTTGGGAGCTAGGTGAGCCGATTGAGCGCACTTTGCCCATGCCTGCTCTTGATACTACAAGTGAATAAATCGAAAAACACACATGAATAGAAAAGTCGCTATTGATGATTCGATTCTCAATTAAAAAAAAGTCCACAAATGAGAATGATGTACAATTGTATACTTTCAAAATCAAATTCAATCAATTGAGAATCCTGGATACTCTAGTACTCAAGCTCAATGCAGGGCCTTATAGTCATTAGACTTGACGAAAAATAAAAAAGTACTTTTAATTTTCTTGAAAACAGCCTGTAAAGTGAGTATTTGACCTACCGATTAATCTGCCGAAGTCTGGGTTCTGCGGAATAATCCTAAGAGGTTGCGCATCGAGTCTGAATGTTTCCCATTAAAATAACACATGAAATTTTTTTTAATGGTTCAGAGCTCATTGTAGTGGCTCTAAGTAACTTTGAGGCGTCTAAATTGCTGTGGGGCTTTGATTATATATCGAACTCGCTTTAGAACCAATAATTCTAGCCATTTCTAATCATTTCTTCTTCAGAATCGGTCTTTTAAGATATAAAATGCAAAATTCAATTTAATTATCATTCCTACTGCGAATATCTTCCAAAGTAATAGGTTTAACGTAAAATATAAAAAAACCTTGTTTAGAATTAAGCTAAACTGGGGCGGTTTCACGACGAAACAATTATCGGAAA